CCTCTACATGCTACCTTACTTGTCACACATCCTCTAGCTGCTTAATATAGTCTGCTTCTTGCTATTAAAGCGCAAGTACTCTTAGCGCGTATAAGACTTAGCACACAAGCGCGTCTTCTACATTAACAAAGAAGGCTTCCTACTAGCCTTTAAAGACGTGTTTTGTGACGTGTTTACAGAGGCAATCTATTGCATAGCCTTTAAGGCATTAGGACTTGTCCCTCTTAACACGCAGGTTGTATTAGATTACCTTAAAGTGCAGCTATGTACCCTGCTAGAACCCCTCCTCCTAGAGACGCTGTGGCAGTTAAAGACTCTAAGCAATATATATAAGTTTAGATTACAATTAAAGCTTGTACGCAAGTCCTTTACTTGTTCTCCTATTACTGCGCAGGCAGGCTTCTCTTAGCTTATTAGAGGCGGCGAGCTTATGCTGCATTAGAACGCGCTTTAAGCAGCCCGGATTACTAAGCTTAAAGAGCAATTAGCAGTGATGACTAAAAGGAAATCGCGCAAAAGGAAGCGGATCCAGCATGGCGGCACAATGGAGTATGGTGAGGCAGCAGCCTAGGTGGCCGCAGAGGCCTCTATAGCCGCTGAGCGGTCGAAGAAGGCTTGTCCTGGTGGTGATCAAGAGAGAGCCTAACCAGCTTTACGGCGCTGTAGGAACTGTAGCAAGACTAGGCATAACGCGCAAACGTGTAAAAAGGATATAGAGGAGACTTCTAAATTAGAGGTTAGTACAGCGTACACAGGCTCCTTGTATAATAGTAATAAAAATAGAAATTTGTAACTAGTGTTAGTTGTGCCAAGACATTTTGAGCTGTTGGGTGGTTTGAGCTGTTGGGTGGTGGAATACGTTATAGTGTTTGCAACAACAACATACACAACTTTAATAAAACTAGGTTCTAGATAGGCGTTGCTTTGTCTTTAAAGGTTGTAACAGGCTTAGAGAGACGTGCTCAGCTAGAGCTTGTTCAGCTAGGTGATTGCGAGTAGGTTACTGTTATCCAGAGCATCTGCGCCGCTAGGTATGCAACCCCACCTTTCATTATCTACAAAGGACGCGTCTACATCTCTGCCTAGTATAAGGAGACAGATATACCCTATAATTAGAAGCTCTTAGTCTCTAAGAATAGTTAGACAAATAACACACTTAGCCTTAAGTAGTTAAAGTACTTTAACACGCATATAAAGACGTGTTAGGTAGGAGTGTATAGGTTCCTTATCTTAGATAGCTATAAGAGCTATCTTAACTAAGAGTTTAAGGACTATTACCTAGAGAACTAAATCCTTACTCTCTATATACTACCTTACTTATTATATATCCTCTAGCTACTTAACATAGTCTGTTTCTTGCTATTAAAGCGTAAGTACTCCTAATATATTTAAGACTTAGTATACTAACATATCTTCTATATTAATAAGGAAGGCTTCCTACTAGCCTTTAGGGATATGTTCCTTAATATATTTATAAAGGTTAACTACTAAAAGGCCTTTAAGGTATTAGGGCTTATTCCTACTAATATATAGGTAGTGTTAGATTGCCTTAAAGTGTAGCTGCATACCCTACTAGCAGTACTTCTACCTAAAATACTATAGCAATCTAAGACGCTAAGCAATATATATAAGTTTAGGTCTTAATCTAAGCTTATAAGTAACTCCTTCTAATAATTGCTAAGTATAGTGTAAGAGGGGTTCTTAAAGCTTATAAAAGAGGCTAAAGAGCTACTGTATAAAAATATCCTTATTAAGGCCTACATGCAAGAGCTTAAAGAGCAATTAGTAGTAATAACTAAGAGAAAATTGCGTAAGAGAAAGCAGATTTAGTATAGTGGCACACTTGAGTATGGCCCAGCAGCATCGCAGGTAGCTGCTGAGGCGTGTGTAGCAGCTTAGCCATCTAAGAAGACTTAGGGTAGAGGTAGTCAACTAGGAGCTTAGTTAACTGTTTAGCACTGTAGGAACTGCAGCAAAACTAGACACAACGCACAAACGTGCTAGGAGGGTGTAGAAACATCTTCTAAATCTAATGTAAGCATGCAGTATGCTAGGTCACTGTTTAATAGAAAGTAGTTATAGTTGTAGTAACTTGGGTTAGTTGTGCTAAGAGAAAATGGCCGGTTTGGTGATATGGCCGGCTCGGTGATAATCTACGTTAACGGTAATGCACCAGACAAAATGACATGTTGACAACAGTCTGTACTAAATTCAACAATGACACAGCTACTCACATACTCTTGATGCGCTGTGATTTTGCAGCAGCGTCGCGATATCTTTGTGGCCTCTTTCTGACGCCGCCTGGAGTGCGTTGCCGTA